CCCTGTTCCTGATCTGTAGACCCTTTTCCTGATCTGTAGACCCTTTTCCTGATCTGTAGACCCTGTTCCTGATCTGTAGACCCTTTTCCTGATCTGTAGACCCTGTCCCTGTGTCCTCTCAGAGCTCTCCTCCTGTTGGATCAGTACCGCCAGAAGTCTCGTCTCTTTCGTTCTCCGGTTCTTCTCGTTTCGCTCGGTGATGACTTTCGATTTGTGGAGTCGAGCGAGTGGGACGCTCAGTTCAGTAACTACCAGAAACTTTTTGACTACTTTGACCAACACCCGGAGCTCCACGTCAAGGTGAGCACCTGAGACACCTTAGAGGGGGCGGGGCCTGATGGCAGGAAATACCCTCAGTGGTGCGTCAGCTCTTCTTCTGTCTTTTTTCAGGCTCGTTTTGGGACTCTGTCAGATTACTTTGAAGCTCTTCGTCGCCGTTTGAACGCAGCAGGAACGACTCTGCCGACGCTTCGCGGCGACTTCTTCACGTACTCCGACCGCGACGATCATTACTGGAGCGGATACTTCACCTCCAGACCATTCTATAAACGCCTCGACAGAACACTGGAGGCCACGCTCAGGTACGTCATTTCCTTATTTTACCCGACTCAGTGTCTGTTCAGTGTATTTAATGTTTTTCTTTAATATTATTTAATATTAGTATTCATTTTTTTCTGTTTTATCAAGTTTAAAAAAACAATTTAAATACAAATTTCTATATATAATTTGTTTTATTTTCTTTATTTTTTGTCTTTTCAGGTACATTTTCTATATTTATATTTTAAATCATCTTTAGTCCTTTTTCACTATAAATATAAATATATATCTTTATATATTTATATTAATTATGTTATATTTTTGTTCATATGTAAAGATTTTCCTCTTCTCTCTCTGACAGAGCGACAGAAATTCTCTTCAGCCTGACGACGGCTGAAATGCGCCGTTACCGTGGTGATGGTCATCTGGTCGCAGATTTCCCAGCGCGCGAACACTTCCAGCGCCTGACGACAGGGAGGCGGAGCCTGGCGCTGTTCCAGCACCACGACGGTGTCACCGGCACCGCCCGGGACCATGTGGTGGTGGACTATGGCACCAGGTGACTACTTTCTGGGAAAACTTTAGCCTGTTAGCATAATCGAAAGTTAAAGAATAAGATGCTTTTAGCGTAAGCTGGAAAGAAAGACTCACAGGACGCATTAGGTCATTAATAAGTTAGCATGTTAGCTAAAGTCAGGGGCAAAATAAGATATTTTAAAGTTCCCATTAACATTTAGGTTTGTAAGAAAAAGTATCTGGTAAAAAAGTGTTTGTGTTAGCTTGTTAGCTTAGCATGTGAGGTAATAAAAAGCTAACATCACATTTATTATTCAGCCTAAAAATATGGGGGGGGTATCAGGGCTCCTGTCAGTGGGGGGGTGGGAGTATTAATAGACGGCGTTAAAGGTGTTGAAGCAGCTAAAACTAGCAGGTGTTAGCATAGAAAGCATATTTTACATTGATAGTTTTTGTAAAGTGACTTTTGTTAAAATATCACAAAGTTTTAATGAAGTTTTTTTTTAATGATTTATTTTTCATTCTTATTGCTTACTTCTCTAATTTTCTAATTATTTTTTCAGATAAAAAAAGATCTTTAACTACATTTGCAGATAACAAATCAGTGTTAGCATTGTCTTTAGCGTTAGTGTGTGTTTTGTCTCATTTGTCCCTCCATGCTCTCTGTTGAAGGATGACGTCGCCGCCGGCAACGGTAACAGGTACTGCCTCGCTTAGTGTGAGCAGTTAGCATTAGCCTCCCATCATACCCATTCATTTAGCATTAGCATCTAACATTAATTTCCCATCAGTCCCATTTGATGAGCGTTTCATTAACAGTGTGTTTTACAGTGTAGTTTGTCATTCATTGTTTATGCTTGACGTTTTGAAGTTGTAAACTTCATTTTAAATAAAGTTTTGATTATAAAACAGTGTTTTTTAGGCTTTAGTACGCATGTAAAGTCAGTATGTTTTGCAGTGCAGACAATGTAAAAAACCTTAAATCAAACTGAAAACAAATTTCAATCAATAAAAATAAAATGAATGTTGGAACAAAACTCTTCAAGAATGAAACAAGAAGGAAATGAAAACGTTTGAACTGAAATACATTTTATATTGCAGATTGTTTCACTCGATCCTGAACCTGCGCCAAGTGCTGCAGAGCTCCGCCCACTGGCTGCTCCTATTGGACAAGAGCCAGTACCACTACGACCAATCAAAACCCTTCCTGAAAATGGTGAACCCTGACCCCATCGCCTCTTTTAAAATGATCCTATGTAGTTTATTTCTGTAATTGTTTTATGGCAGAGACAGAATTTAGTACAACTCATTAAATAATAACGGTTCAATAATATTATTATTATTATTATTATTTATTATTATAATGAGACTGATCTGGAACAATAATATGATGTTGACAGACTTGTGGTCAATGTTTGGTGCTTTAAAGTCGCTTATTAAATGTATAAGATATGAATTCAATCATAAGTCAGACAACAGAAACTGTGGACGTTATGGACACGTTGACGGACGGATGATGTGAGTTTCAGGAACATAAATGTATGAAAAATGTACATTTTTAATAACTAAATCCTCAGGTTGATGTATTTTCAGGATGATGTGATCTTGGCACAGGACGCTCTGCCTCAGAAGACGTCGCTCACGCTCAGCGATGAACCCAGGTGAGGGAGGCGGGGCTTATATAGGGAAGAGGCTGAGGCAGAATAGCTTACTTTATTATTTTCAGTTTACATATTAATACCACAAATACGCTGAGCCGCGTTTACACCCGAGAACTTCTCGTTAACTACTTTTCAAGACGCCTGTGCTTTCACCGCGCAAGACAGGTGAAGACCAGGTAAATGTGTTGGAAGTCACAGACTGAATAACAAACAGTCGTTAGTCTCTGTGACGTCCCCCACAGGTCTGTGAAGAGCTCAGTGTGGTCGTAGCCATCTTGGATTTCCTCAGGGTCCACAAGGGTCAAATCTTGCTTTTTATTTGTAGTCACGGGCCCATGAGATTATAAAGTAGAGTTAATCCTCCAATATGCTGATGATACTCTGCTGTTCGCCCTCACTGGTTCCTGAAGAGCTGTTGTTCAGCCTCAGTGTTTGTCTCCACTCTGTTCCAATGTTTGATAGATTGATATTCAACACTGATCGGTTTCCTTTCAGGTCATTGATCATCTTTAACCCGACAGAGCAGCTCCGTACGTCCGTCATCAGCGTCGTCATCGACTGTCCTGACGCTCGCGTTGTCGATGCACAGACGGGTCAACCGATGACTGCGCAGATCTCTGCAGTGTGGGAGGAGCCGACTCTGGCGTCCGCAGAAGATTTCCAGGTGAAAAACTAATTAGTTAAATCAAATTAAATATTTTTAGTTAAGTTATTTTTGATTTGTAAAAGTTGTTTGTATTCATTTGTATTTCTGTATGATTTATTTTATGATTTCAGTCTGGATTCCAACTTCCACGTTATTATTATTATTGTTGTTGTTATTAATCAATACTACTAGACTTTTATTTTGGTACATTTACTTGTATGTTTCTTTAAGGTTAAGCCCATCCACTGATCAGTGATTGTCCAATCACAGCAGAGTTTTATATTTTCACCTTCAGCTCGACTTCGTGGCTCAACTTCCTCCTCTTTCACTCGTCGTGTATCATGTGACCAAAGCTTCTGTTGGCTCCGTCCACCGGGCTCGCTACACCTTCCATCGCCGTGGCAACCCGCCGACCATCCAGACCGAACACTTCCAGGTGTCCCGACCGGAAGGACCTGAGGCTGACGCCCCCCTGTCGCTTAGCAACAAGCACGTCCAAATATGGAGCTCCTCAGAGACCGGCCTGCTGCAGGTCAGACTTTTCAAATTAAAAGTTTGATTGGATAAAGTGAACATAAACATTTTAATGAATAAATTATAATAAAATTATCTTGGTTTAATGTGTTTAATTGCAAAAAATACCAACATATTTAAGGTGTAACACATTGTTATAGAAATGATCAGATTGTTATTTATTATTATTTCTTTTATTAATCCACTTACTGATTAATTAATATTAAGTTAAAGTTAAAATTGACTAATTATTTTTACTAATAAAGTTCACTTGAAGGCTGACTTAGACCTTTTATTTTGAAATGCAGAAGCTCCGCCTGCAGTCCGGTCTGGTCCGTCAGGTCCAGGTCCAGTTCCTGTGGTACGGAACCACAAGGAACCGGGACAAGAGTGGAGCTTACCTGTTCCTGCCGGGGGAGGAGGGGGCCAAGGTGAGTCCAGAACCAGGACCCAGATCTCTCTCTCTCTCTCTCTCTCTCTGTCCTCTCATTCACTGTGAATGTCTCTCGCCCTCCTGCAGCTCTACTCGTCCTCACAGCCACCCCTGGTTCGGGTCTCCAGAGGTCCGGTCTTCTCTGACATCACTTCCTGTTTCCGGCACTTTACGCACAGAGTCCGACTCTACCACCTGGAAGGTAACGAGAACATTGAGCCTCTAGTGGACGCCACAGGAACTGCAGGCTTGTTGTACTGAGCGTGCTCAGTAGAGTCCTGTCTGTCACTGACTTCCTGTTGGCCACTAATGTATCAATTATTCATATTGATCCAACTGAAGGATTTCACAATAAAAGCCTCCTGTCTGTCTCTGCCCCAGGGCATGCTGGGAAGTCCCTGGAGATTTCCAACATGGTGGACATCAGGTCAGAGGTCAACCGGGAGCTCGCCATGAGGATCGTCAGCAACGTTGCCAGTGGCAACCGCTTCTACTCCGACCTCAACAGTTTCCAGGTTCACTGCGTTTGATGATGTCACATGTTGTTAAATAACACCGTGAGCCTGTTATTGATTGATTATTGATTGTTTATTGATAGTTTACTCATTGGTTATTTATTGGTAATTGATTGCTAATTGAAAGTTTATTGATAGTGTATTGATAGCTGTTCTTATCTGTTGTGCCTGTGCACTCTATCTGTTTCACCGTGGGGCGTGAATGAGAAAACGTCTCATCCATGTTGTATGTCTGGTGCATGTGAAAGAATGACAATAAGCTGACTTTGACTTTGACTGTTTTTATTGGGTACAGATGCAGCAGCGGCGCACTCTGGCGAAGCTCCCCCTGCAGGCGAACTTTTACCCGATGACCTCAGCGTCGTTCCTGCAGGACGAGACGTCTCGAGTGTCTCTGCTGTCGGCTCAGAGTCAGGCTGTCGCTTCGCTCCGACCAGGTGAGTCTCCGTCTACCTGTCTGTTTGTCTGTCTTTGGAAACAACAACAATAGGACTTTATTGATCGCCTATTAACAGCCAACCTGCGCGCTCTCTAACAGCCAGCAGGGGGCAGCTCCCCTCTGATAGTATTGAGTCTTATGGAGAAGTTGATTCATTTACAGTAAACAGTTTATGGTATGTCACCGCTACATGGAGATGACCATAACGCCCAACTGGAGGCTTCTGTCTAAGCACGTTGACCTCTGACCCCTGCAGGTGAGCTGGAGGTGATATTGGACCGGCGGCTGCAGCAGGACGATAGCCTCGGCCTCGGTCAGGGCATCACCGACAACAAGCTGACAGCGAGTCTCTACCAGCTGCTGCTGGAGGACAGGAGGGGCGGGGCCCAGGTGAGGGGGCGTGGCCCAACACGCCGTCTGTAAAATGTGATCGATCGATCAGTCGTGATCAGATATGTGACCGATATGAGACGACATGAAAAGTCGAACTCTTTAAACACCTTCTGAGGATCAAACTGAAAGACAAAAGTACATTTAAATATTAATATTATTATTATTATATTACTGATATTATATATTAATAATATTATATTACTGATATTATATATTAATAATATTATTATATTACTGATCTGGAGTGTTTTTTTTTATATAATTAATAAATTACAGATTTTTATTATATTAATAAACTACTTATTCATATTACGATATTATATAACATTAATATTATTATATTACTGACGTCTTCGATACCTTACACAATATTATTATATTACTGATATTTATTCATAAACTTAATATATTATATACTTATTATCTATATAGTCCCAACTTAATTATTATTATTAGCGTATGTTATCTATATAAATTAATATTAGTGTATATACTGATATTATATATTAATAATATTATTGATATTTACTGATTATTATATATTAATTATTATTATATTACTGATCATATATATATTATTGCTCATTGGCATACCATTTTATCTATTATTATGATTTACTTGATAATGTATGTGGGTGTGACCACCAGTTGCCTCACCCTAAGCCACACCTGGAGAAAGTTCTTTAGATCCAGTTCAGCTCAGGTGAAGAATGGGCAAAAACAAAAGTGGTGCGTCTCTATATTTTGGTTCAGTGTAAGAGATATTACTGAAACTAATATTAATACCGTATATTTTAATATTTTACCTTTTGTGTTTCTTTCAGTTGCTGTTTTCTTTCCTTGCATTTATATATTTTTTGTTTATTATATTTGTATTAGCAGACTTTCTTTTGTTGACATTTTGTTTCCTGACAGGAGTGGGAGGAGCCCTCAGTACAACACACATGTGTCCCTACTCGCCCACCTGGACCTCGCTCTCCCCCATTTTTTCTTTTTTTTTTGGGCCACCCGGCCACCCATCACCGATGGTCGCCTCTAGCGACAGAACAGCTGCTGAAGCTCCGCCTTCCTGCCACTCCGAGTCCCCTGCCGTGTGACGTTCACCTGCTGAACCTGAGGACGCTGGAGGACACCACAGGTAAGAACACCTGGAAACACCTGGAAAACACCTGGAAATCTATAAGGTTAATGTTATAAGGAGTTCGGGTCTAGACCTGCTCTATTTGAAAGAAGTTCCTGAGATAACTTCTGTTATGAATCGAAACTATACAAATAAAACTAGAATGAATTGAATTGAATCACCTGGAACATTTGTGGTAGAATTACAAACTCAAATTAACTTCAACAATTATAAAAACTGTCCACAGATAAATAATCAATATTTTCCCTGTTCAGTTATTGATCACTGCGCAGCAACAAATGGATTCAGAACTCTGCTGTGATCAATAACTGTAGCGTTGAGCTTCGGTGTGTCTCACTGCAGAGGTCTAATGTCAATAAAGGGATCAATATGA